CGGCGAATATTGTTGTGAGAGTCTGATTAAACACACGTGTCTAATGTGACTGTCAGTGCCTGAAATAGCAAAAATTTATCAGAGGCAACCATGCCATCATACATCAACAATGATCTGTAAATTCATAAGCTTCATTTTAGTGAAATATCCTTGGTGATATGATTTGAGGCTGGTCTGACATTTGCATTGAAATACAGTGACAGTTCATAGTATTTATCTAACGCTCTTACACAAGCCCCATTGTGGGAGCAGTGACACAGGCACTATTAACCCAGGCAGGTAAATGAACATCAAGTCACATCTACAGTTCATAATGGGAAGCTGGCTAGGAATAAGCTCAAAGAGAAAGGAGCGAGGTGCCAGACGGGTGAGAAAAGTGATGCTCTTCCCTGGTACAGCTGTATCTTTCTCTCCTTCTTCATTCATTCCTTCCTTCTACAAATGTACTGAGCTCAGCTGTGGGCCAGCAAGTACTCAGAGTGCTGGAAATACAGATAAGCCCCTCCCCACTCAAGGAGTTTAGGGTCTAGTAGAGGGAGATGAACCCCACATAATTTGGTGTCTAAGAGAGGGTAGAACTTTTTAAGATGGAAGAGGAATATCAACATCTATATTCATTTAGCCACTTCAAAAGGCTTTATCTCATAGCAAGAAGCAACAGCAAATTCCCAAAGGAGAAGGATCTTGTTCTAGGAGAGCAATAGAAATATACCTAAGTGACCCATAATCTCTAGAGAGACTGCATTTGGCATTTCTCCTGCTGTACAAATGTGAGGTACACACAGAGTAAGAGAATGTGATAAATCCATTACTCTTGCCTGTCCCAGGTAAGTATTTGAGTTTGCTAACCTTGACTCGGGGTATCTAAGTTGAGGAAGGGGACCTTGTTGCCAGTGCACAGAGATAGTTTAGCTTAACAATGAGCACTGAGGGGTTTGAAGGCAGAGCGAACTGAATTTGAATCCTGACCATACTGTGGCCTTCCTGGACCTTCCTTAACCTCTCTGAGCCTCAGTCTCCTCATCTGTAAAATGGGAGTAATAAATCCTATTACAGTAGCTACTGGGAGAATTCAGTGCCTTCGTCTGAGAGGTGCTCGTCATGTCAGTAAGTGCTCAGTAACAATAGCAATGGTTCTCATCCCTAACCTTTCACAGTCACTCGACCATCTCCGGGGTATCGGAAACACGGGCTCTATCTGGTCTGAGCAGAGGACAAGG